GGTTTTATTTTTTAAAGAGTTTGGGAAAATCTTTGGGGTCTCTTGTGCTTTGCTTTTAAAGTTTGAAAAAATCTTTGAGGTCCTTTGAGTGTTATTTTCGAAAGAGTTTAAAAGGACCTTGGGGACGCTCGGCGTCTCTATTTTAAAGAATATGAAAAAATATTCGTGGACCCCTGTTTTACTATCTTTGAAAGAGTTTATAAGAATTTTTGTGGCTCTAGTTTATGCGATTTTTAAATATTGATGAACCTTCGTACTTTACTTTTAAAATGTGAAAAAATCTTCTCCGGTGCTCTTTGTGTTTTTTTTTTTTATTATTAATATGAATGAATCTTCGGTGTCCTTGTGTTTTGAATTTAAAGTGTGACAGAATCTTGGGGATGCTTAGTATCTTTATTTTAAAGAATATGAAAAAATCTTTACGGATTCCTCTGATTTTGTTGTTGAAAGAGTTTGAAAGAATCTTGGGGACCTTCAGTGTCTCATTTTTTAAATAATATGAAAGAATCTTCAGGGCCCCTGAGGTTTTATTGAAAAAAAATTAAAAAAGTCTCTGGGACTTCTGGTGTTTTATTTTTGAAAGATTTTGGAAAAATCTTTGCGGCCCTTTAAGTTTTAAATTCTGAAATAATCCGCGGGACAGTTGGTCTTTGATTTCGAAATAATTTAAAAGAATCTTTAGGGCTCTAGGTTTTTTTTATATGAATTATTCTTCAGGCCCCTTGTGTATTTCTTTTAAATGTGAAAGAATCTCCGGAGCCCCTTGTGTTCTCTTTTCGAAAAAAACTGAAAAAATCTCGAGGGCTTCTGATGTTTATTTTTGAAAAAGTTTGAAAAAATCTTTGGAACCCCCTGTGTTTTGGTTATACAATTTTTAGGGTTGTAGTGTCTTTTTTAACATAACTAAATCTTTGAGGCCCCTTGTATTTTATTTTAAAAATGTAAAAAAATCTTTAGGGCTCTAGTGTTTTTTTATAATATGTAGTAGAGATGTACCGACTATAGTCGGTCGACTGTTCCGCTTTGCTAAAACCGGTTTATAAATGCAACAGACAGTGTGTTTTTTTTTCTATTTCTCTGATTACCTTAAAAACTTGTTTTATTTTAATAAAAGGAATAAGTAAAGTTTCTTTGTTTTCCAAAAAATGTGTTAAATTTGTTTGGATAATTTTAACATTTATTTTTTTGTAGTAACTCAGTACAAAAATAAAGAATAACATAACACAATTTACGGCAGTTTATACAATACTTTAACCACTTTTAACCACTTTTAACCACTTTTTTGGCAAATTTTTGGAAATTTTGAATTCGCTTTGCGTGTTTATTGGACCAGATATCGTGACGGCGATTTCAGAATCGTAACTAGCGGAAGATCGGAAGATTATCTACACTTTGACACCAATTTTCGGTTGATTAAACCAGTTTTAACCGATTTTAACAAAGCCGACTAGTCGGCCGACTATAGTCTACATCTCTAATATCTATATAGGTATGAAAGAATCTTCAGGGACCCTTGCGTTATATTTTTTAAAGAGTTTGAAAAAATCTTTGGGGTTTCTTGTACTTTGCTTTTAAAATTTGAAAGAATCTCTGAGGTCCTTTGAGTTTTATTTTTGAAAGAGTTTGAAAGAATCTTGGAGATCCTCAGCGTCTCTATTTTAAAGAATATGAAAAAATATTCGGGGACTCCTGTTTTACTATCTTTGAAAGAGTTTATTAGAATTTTTGGGGCTCTAGTGTGGGCGTTTTTTAAATATTGATGAACCTTCGTATTTTACTTTTAAAATGTGGAAGAATCTCCTGCGGGGCTCCTTGTAGTTTTTTTTTATTATTAATATCTTCGGGGTCCTTGTGTTTTCAATTTAAAATCTGACAGAATCTTGGGGACGCTTAGTCTCTTTATTTTAAAGACTATGAAAAAATCTCCAAGGATTCCCCTCGTTTTGTTGTTAAAATACATAGTTTGAAAGAATCTTGGGGATGTATAGTGTCTCATTTTTTAAATAATATGAAAGAATCTTCAGGGCCTTTTAGGTTTTATTAAAATTTTTTTTTTTAATTATCTGGGACCTTTCGTGTTTTATTTCAGAAAGATTTAGAAAAAAATCTTTGGGGCCCTTTGTGTTTTGTTTTCAAAATGTGAAAGAATCTTGAGGACGCTTTATTTGAAAAAATATCACAGAATATTCTGGCACCCCTGCTGTATTGTTTTTAAAATAGGTTGAATGAATTTTAAGGGGTCTATTGTGTTTTTTTTTAATACTAATGAATCTTCGTGTTCTAAAGAATTTTTAGGTCTCTAGAGACTTTTTTTAAGAATTATTCTTCGGAGTCCCTTGTGCCATGGTTCTAAAACGTGAAATCGTGTCTTGGGGACGCTTAGTGTCTTTATTTTAAAAAGAATATGAAAAAATATTTTTGGGGAATCCTGTTGCTTTGTTGTTGAAAAAACTTGAAAGAATTTTTAGAGCTCTGGTGTTTTTTTTACATTTGAGGGTATTTTTGGGCCTCTTTGGGTTCTGCTTTCAAAAAGGGAAAGAATCTCCAGGGCTTCCTGTGTTTTGTTTCGGAAAAAATTTGAAAGAATCTTGGTGCGTTTAATGTCTTATTTCTCTACATAATATGAAAGGACTTCAGGGCCTTTTGAGTTAAAAAAAATTGATACAAATCTCGGGGACCTCTGATATTTTATTTTTGAAATTTATAGTTTCACCTTTAGTTTTGAAAAAAAGAATCTTTAGGCTTCTAGTGTCTTCTTTCTTAAGTATTGATGAATCTCCGAAGCTTCTTGTGTTTTGTTTTGAACGAGTTTGAAAGAATTTTGGAGATACTAAGAAATCAGCCCTAAGTGTTTTTATTTTAAAGCGTATGAAATAATCTTCGAAGAGTTAACGTTGTTTTATTTTCGAAAGAATTTGAAAGAATCTTTAGAACTCTAGTGTCTTTTTTTTTATATAGCTGAATCTTGAAGTCCCTCGGGGGCTTCTTATGTTTTGTTTTTGAATGAAATTGAAAGAATCTTGGGGCAGCTTAGCGCGTCTTTTTTTGGGAGCCCCTTGCGTTTTATTTTTGATTTTTTTTTAAACCTCGGGGATCTCTGGTATTTTATTTTTGAAAAAAATTGAATAATTCTTGAGGGCGCTTTGTTTTAAAGAATGTGGAAGAATATTCGAAAGAATCTTTGGGGTTCTAGTTTTTTTTTTAATTTCAAAGAATCTTCGCGGCCCCTTGTGGCTTCCTTTTAAATTGTGAAAGAAATTTTCAAGCACCCTTAGTTTTATTTTCGAAAAAAATCTTTGGGGCCCTAGCATGTTTCTTTTATAAATTGATGAATCTTTGTGTTTACTAAAATGTGGAAGACTCTCCGAGGTTCCTAGTGTTTTATTTATAAAAAAATTTGAAAGTATCTTCAGGACTCTAATGTCTTCTTGTTTAATATGAATGAATCTTCTGGGTCCTTTGTGTTTTGTTTTTAAAATATGAAAGAATCTTGAGGACGCTTTATTTTAAAAAATATGACAAAATATTCTGGCACCCATGCTGTATTGTTTTTGAAATAGGTTGAATAAATTTTTAGGGCTCTATGGTGTTTTTTTAACACTAATGAAACATTGTGTTTGATTTTTAAAATGTGAGAGAACCTCGGAAATTTGTGTGTTTTGTTTTTGACAATATTAGGAAGAATTTTGAAGAATTGCTAGGGTTCTAGTGTTTTTTTTTTAATATGAATCAATTTTCGGAACCCTTGTGTTTTGGTTTTAAGAGCTTGAAAGAACATTGGAGACGTTGGTATCTTTATTTTAAATAATATGTTGTTTTGTTTACGGGGTTGAAAGAATTCGTAGGGCTCTAGAGTTTCTTTTTTAAGAATTAATCTTCGGGGTCCCCTGTGTCATGGTTCTAAAACGTGAAATCGTGTCGAGGACGCTTAGTCTCTTTATTTTCAAGAATATGAAAAAATATTTTTGGGAACCTTGTTGCTTTGCTGTTGAAAAAGTTAGAAAGAATTTTTAGAGCTCTGGTGTCTTTTTTTACATTTGAAAGAATTTCTGGCGCCCTTTGTATTTTGCTTTCAAAATGGAAAAGAATCTCCAGGGCTCCCTATGTTTTGTTTCCGAAAAAATCTGAAGGAATCTTGGTGTCTTTTTTTACATTTGAAAGAATTTCTGGCGCCCTTTGTATTTTGCTTTCAAAATGGAAAAGAATCTCCAGGGCTCTCTATGTTTTGTTTCCGAAAAAATCTGAAGGAATCTTGGTGTCTTATTTTTCTACATAATACGAAAGGATCTTCAGGGCCTTGATATTTTATTTTTGAAATTTATAGCTTGAAAAAATCTTTGGAGTTCCTTCTGTTTTGTATTTAAAATTTGAAAAAACTTCGAAGCTCCTTTAGTTTTGTTTTAGAAAGAATTTGAAAGAATCTTTAGCCCTCTAGTATCTTCTTTTTTAAGTATTGATGAATCTCCGAAGCTTCTTGTGTTTTGATTTAAACGAGTTTTAAAGAATCTTGGAGACGTCAAGTGTTTTTATTTTAAAGAATATGAAATAATTTTCGGAGACTGACATTGTTTTGTTTTCGAAAGAATTTGAAATAGGTGTTTTTAGAATAACACAGTGTATGTTAAAGATGAAATTTTCTTAAAGAAACTTTGTGATACAATTATTATTTTTGTAGGTCTAAATATTTAATGTATAGTGTTCGATTTTTAATAATAACACAGTGTTTCTTGGATTTCAGAAAAACTAGGAGACCCAATCGGTCAAATTAAAAAAAGTTATCAATTTTGTATTCAAATATACTTATGACGTGTTCTAAAGTAAAAATCTTAACGCTGTATTTGGAAATCAGTCCATTACCAGAGTTCAAGTTTTAATAAGTCTAAGTAAGTTCAAATTTTTCTAAACAGCTTCAGTTGATCAGCACATAATAAACATTCAGAATCTAAATCTAGGATGATGCCATTTCTATAGAACAAAATAATGAATATAAATGCTCTAACCTGTCAGGGGGGTTGTGTACTAAAGCGCACTGGTCGCTCACGGACACCGACAGTTCAGGATCAGCCCCCGACTGAGGCCCCGAGCCGGGACTGCGCCGCACCCCCTGCTGGACCTCCACCACGAAGACCCCATCTCTGGCTCCCGGCGAGTACTTCATCGTGGTCTCCCTGCTGTCCTCCTCGATGTCCTGCAACAGAAAATTGTAGACACGATCATCACAACTTCGAACAATTACGTTTCTTTCTTCAGTTTCTACAATCAGGTGGTTGTTTTTGAGCGTCATGGTGATGATACTGCCATTGGTACTCGAGTGGTTGTTGCTCCTTATTTGGCTAACACCTGTACCATCACACACTTCGACTTCCTCGGTGTTGATGGCAAGATGCGTTTCCCCACATTTCTGCTAACATATCAGATATTAGGTCGTTGAAAGATGGACTGTTATTATTTAAAATTTGCTAAACAGCACCCAAGGGCAGCGAAATTTGGAAATTATGTGTGTGCGTGCTGCTATTCGTTTAATGTCCATCATCATCATCAATGTGCAATTTGGGCACACATTTGGACGAGTTAGAATATTCGCAGAATCGGTGGGAATTTCGTCGGAAATTTGTGGGGCTTACAGGTGTAGCGCATCGGTTCTTAAAACTTCTCATAATCAAGTTCAAATAATTTAAGATAACATTGAATAAGACACAATGAGTAATTTTTAGTCTACATTGTGTTTGGTATGAATCAATCAATATCTGCAACTAATAAAAAAAACCGCAGCAGTTATTTTCCGCAACAGTTATTTTTTTATTGAGTATTATGTTAAACATTGTTTTTGAGATCTATAGGTGTAGTTATGATGATTAAATACATTAAAAAAATTGTACTTAAAAACAAGAACAGAGTTTAGTACAATATATAATGAATGCTCTTAATAATTTATGGATAATTGAATACCTTTCTCAATTTACTTGTAGTAAATTTTTACAAAATGACTGTTAACATTTTTTAGGATATAAATTGCATTAGGCTCACCTTAAATAAATATAAATAACTTAAGCTTTTTTAAGCTTTATTGTTAAGGAGTGTTAGGTCCCCATGTACATTTACTATTGGAAAAATTAAAAAAAAAATAGAAAAATTAAGGGCCCTCTTACAGCAAGTGAATTCAATTTTTAATTGGAATTAAAATCTAAAGTGCGATTAATCCATGAATTTAGTCATCGGATTGGCTAAACTTGATCACGTGATCAATTAACTGAGCGATTAAATTAATGGTGTGATTACGAAGTGCATCTGTAAACAGGGTCTACATAAATTACCGTAATAAACATTTTTTTTAGGAAGATATCGCTTTAGGATGATTCAGTAAAATTCTTTGAGAAATCAGGATTTACAAACAAGAAATAATAATTAAAATTACGAGCATTTTGTTTACTCATTAGGTCAAGAGTCTCAACTAGCAGTTAAACATTATTCTAAATAGATGTGACATCCAGCAAGGACGAAATAACATTGCTAAAATACCTTCGGTAGATAAAGAATTTGGTTAGCTTTTTACCGTCTACAAGACTTTTTAAAATATGAGAACATGCAACCACTAGCTTTAGAGATTATCTGTCTAATAGACAGATGGAAATGGGAGACGTACTTTTCCATATTCCGGAAGCCCAGAAGCCGTAAAACGTCGCGAAAACATGAAGTTAGCGACACAGACATCGGATTTATTACCCCTACGACACCTACAATTTTAACAGCTACACTATTACTGTGTTGTGGGGATAATAACGTGATTGTGTTAGTGTCAAGGCACCAAATGGTCCTTCTGAAGGTTCTAATCATCATAAATTGCTGGTCATTTCACTTTAATTCACTAATTTGAATAATTTTTCGTTGAAAGAGAATCCCCTTGGCCATAATTTTTATAGTTTCGACCTCTTGAGATGTCTTTATTTGCATTTTAAGCACTTTTAAGACGTTCTCTGTCGTTGCCAATGTACGAAGAAGAAGTTGAATTGTTGAAAATCAGGACTACATCAAATTATCCACCCAAGACCTGCAGTTCCACGAAAAATTTAATAGTTCGCCGTTTATTATGAAAAACAATGTAACTTAGGTATTTAGAAAAAATATTGGTCCAAGATTATTTAGACAGAACTTTCCTCGCCTCTGAAGCAAACAAATTTATAACATTTAATTTTGCCAACCGCCAATAAGTTAAAATAAAGATCTGTGTACTATTAAAGTACAGATAAAAAGCATGTTATGCGTATATTTCAAGTGAGTTTGTCCATTAAAAAATCAACATTTTAGTCATGACACGTATAATAATTTGGATGGGTCCAGTGTAATATTAATAGTAATAGTAATGAAATTCCAAATTTTCTGGAAAATGGAGTGAGCCGCTCTTGATTTGATCAATAAAATATATTGCCTCGTTCATTAATTTTTTTGAGCCACCCTGTATAAGCAATTCTAAAAAATATTCGGTTTTGCAGTTTCAGATGTAAAATGTAAAATGTTGTTGAGCCAATTTGATTTCATTTTCCAAAATCTGGACATCGTAGTACAAAATCAAGATGGAATCATAAACCACAAGTATGAAGTAGGTAAATTTTAATGTGAAATCATTACATTTGGTGGGGATGATCAGACACTTTTTGGTTGCCATTTTACCACCTACATAATATTCGTAAAATGCTTATAAAATTTGATAACAATCGATCTAGTAATATCTGTTTAATAAAATATCGATGCAGAGAGCAGCAGCAGACGACAGACAGATGACAAACAGATCACTCTAGAAGTGATAAAACGTCGAGAGAACATGAAAGTAGCCATTCGGACGAACCCTTAGCGCTCAGGAAGTAAAAAGTCACAGAACTGCTCTTTGGAAAATAATCTGCACACTCGACAATACCCTGATTTTATGTGACTAGAGGAGCAGAACCAAAACTAAACAATACCAAAGGAAAGTTTAAGCACTAAGAAGATCGTTTACGTCGGAATAAAAAAAATCCTGTAAGTCAAAAATACATTTTATTACCGCTGTTTACTAAATGTTAAACCTAGAACAGCAATGGTATATTATGGACCTAGTTTTATAAACGCCCCTTTAGTCACGAGGTTATTTATTCACGAACGGAACGGTGCGAGTGTTTAAAACACGAGTATCTAGAGAAGTTTATAAAGTGTGCTTTTTCTACTTCATTATAATTATCGGAACTGTGTAATGTATAGTCCTACAAAAAATAAAATCGTAACATCATGAATAACATATAAAAATTTGTGTTAAACAATTGTTTATAGTTAACAATAAAAAGCTCATTAAAATATTAAAATCGACTGATCAGCAATGCGCTTTATTTATTGATTGCCAATACTTACACACCAATTTTACTATTTTAATGACTTTCAGATTTTTATCAACATAATTCAATAGGCGGTGTTTTTTTTTATTTTGAGACAACATGTACTGTCAAAGATTCTAACCTTCAAAACCATTTGTTATATTTGGATAATGACTATTACATAATAACATTGACCTCTTGTATCCAAAAACGGTGTCAAATAATGAAAAATATAATAACAAAAAAAAAAAAAACAGTTTCTTCTTAAGATGTAATCAGTGTGAAAAATCATATACCTGTGACATAAACGAGCCTTTTTTTCAAAAATATCATGTTAGCTGTTTATTTATTAATTATTATTTTATCTAAAACAATAAATTATAGAAGTAATTTTCTGTATATTTTGTATATCTGGGTTTCCCGCCTGTTATACTATATACAGGGTGTTTACTAAACATGCGACAAAAATTCAGGGGGTTAGTCCTTGGATTATTTCAAGATTTTTTTGTATTTGAGTGATTGTCAGAAAGACGTTTTCGTTCGAACATACAGGTATTTTTAAAACGTTCGGCAGTCAATGTGGAAAAAAGTAGATGCATGTGTCCTACCGGGTGCAAAATACTTTGAGTCTATACTTGTGATTTATCATTGCATTAATATTTTTTAAAATTGCTTATACAGGTGATTCAAAAAGTTAATGAATAGTTCAGTTTATTTTACTGATTGAACGCAGTAACTACTCACTCCATTTTCCAGAAAATTTGGGAATGCAATACTGTTATTGTTAGTATTACACGGAAAACTCACTTGAAACATACGCTTTGCACGCTTCTTTCATTTACTTTAACATTACATACATAACTTTATTTTAAATGATAGAGGTTCTCATAAAAAATAAAATTCGCAAAAGCATATTTTGTAATTTTTCGAAAAAGGTAGATTGTTATTATTATTATTGTACTTCAGGTATCCTGAGGCATCGAAAAATACTTTTTGAATTACTTTTTTTAGTACATTTTTACTTGTGATCATGGTTCTTTTGTATGTAAAAGAAACGAAGACAAAGATGGACCGAATGTTCACCATAGTGGCACGATTGAGAAATGATCATGCCCGCTTTTTTGTTTATTATAAAGACAATGCACTATCCAGGCGTTTTGTAAAAATAATTTTGGAAAAATACCTCAAGGAATCGGATTTTTTTTTAAACTATCTAATTCGCAGACATATACCAGTCATTGTTTTAGGAATGCGTAAAAGCTATTGTTAGTGCAATAACAATCATAATAGTGGTAATTAATAATGTACATCATTATTTCCAACAGACTAAACAAACAACAAATTCAAATGTGTGTGAATTTACAAATTACAAATATATTTCCTCGAAAAGGGCTTGAGTAGATAACTGGAGTAACTGAAATACGGCCTGAGTTCAACTGAAGGGTTATGATTTTGGTCAACAAAATTTCGGGAGAAAAATTCTTCTCCCGGATTAAGATCGTGGTTTATTCTCTTGATAAATAAATATCTGTTAAAATTTTACAACAGCTTTGGAAGATTATTTGCCTAATAAAATGACCAACAAACGGGAGATAGGCGGAAACGGAAGGACCACTCTTTCATATTCTAGGAGAAACCATGAACAAATGCCTTTTCATTTTGATTGTAGGCGAATGCATGAAATTTGCATATAAATGTGTATCTGAGAAAATCCTTTAATTTGAGCCCTAATTTTTTGCGTCACATTTAATATGTCCTGTACTATAAAGAAAGACAATCCAACCCAAGTTTTGAGTAAAAGGGTCTGGGAGATTCCGTTAGCAAAATGTCGAGAATTTACCCAAATCTCGTAAACCCTCAAAGAACAAATTTTATTGCACAGCTAAGTACGTAGGTAGATTTTAAAATAATTAAAACACCAATTTACAGACTTCGACACAAGTTGTCTCTTGCTTTTCTAAGAAGAGCTTTGATGTGTTAAATACTCCAAGCCCTCCTACAACTTTCTTTTCGAGTCCTCTTTCTGTATCAATTAGTTTGTGTTGGGTTTTCGTAAAGTGAA